TTTTTTTAACAAATTTAAATTGTTACAACCACATCTATTTGGATACATAAACTTTTAATATTTTAAAGACTATATACATATACGTAAAACAAATATATAATTTATTATTATTATTATTATTATCATTATATTTAAGTTCATATATATTTAATTTGTTTTAATTAAATATGAATTATTATACAGACTTACTTCTCATCATTAATGAAATCCAGGATATCCTGTTCCAGCTTGAGCAGCATCATTCTGTCTCTAAAAGAGTAAAGGAGGATTTACAGGTAAAAGTGATGCAGAAGAACAGAAAAAACTAATCAAATGGAAGCTGACGCTGCATTCAGATTCACATACTTCACTACGTACTTTGATGATGATGGATTCATTTGTAACTAGGGATGTAACGATATCAAAATCTCACGATACGATAATATCTCGATATGAAGTCCACGGTACAATATTGATCGCAATATTTATAAAAAAAAAATAAAAAAATGAAGAATTGGACTTTTTTTTTTTTTTTTTACATTTTGTACATTTTAAAGTTAAATTATTCTATCTAATGCACTTTGAGTTCAAAATTAAGAGCTACAACCCTTGTTCTTAACTAAGAAAACTCAAGTCAGAAAAAAGTCAGTGAATTGACTTGTACCTGAACTTTAAAGGGGACTCAACCCTCTTTTTATTTGTGGTATACTGTCTCAGTCTAAATTACATTCACACTGGGGTTTTAGGAAGCCAAAATAATTAGAATATAATAATAATAATAATAACAACAATGACAGTAATAGCCATATATTCTAAAACAACTGCACTGTAAAATAAATGAAAATGAATATTTCATAGGTATATTATTTTTGCTTTACACTACAGTAGAGAAAATACAATACTTCTTTCCTAATTTCTACACTTGACAGAGATATTTTGAATCTGGACTGCATTTAAACCGCTAGCTGTCAGCAATTCATACTGCACTTTTACGCTTTTATTTTGACGGAAACGGCAGTAGAGCTTTTATTTTGAAGGAAAACTGTGAAAACAGGCTTACAAAAACTACAAATCTAGTGAAACGCTGAAATCATCTTCCGTGAAAATAAAGCATAACTGGTGGCCGTTGTGTTCCCAAACACGCGCTAAACTCACATCACGTGAAATAAAGGAGTTGACTGCATTCATTCAGTTTGAACGAGTCGTTCTGAGACGCAGAAAACACCGGATCACGAGCTGATCGTCTGAACGAAGTACGCGCTTCACTTTGAAACAGACTTGATGAAAGTTTTAAGGCATATTGTGCTTTCGGTTTGAGTTCGTTTGACAGATACTGTGCCAAAGCATAATGACCCAAAACACAACTTTAAAGACCTTTTATGTTAGAATAAGTTTAAATATATTTTAAAAACTAATATTCATGCAAACATTAGCATATTAATACATCACCTTAAAATTCACTACACATTCACATGTGTGACTCTGCAGCACAAAAGCAGTGTTAAGTCGCTGGGGTATATTTGTAGCAATAGCCAACAATACATTGTATGGGTCAAAATTATCAATTTTTCTTTTATGCCAAAAATCATTCGGATATTAAGTAAAGATCATGTTCAATGAAGATATTTTGTAAATTTCCTACCGTAAATATATCAAAACTTAATTTTTGATTAGTAATATGCATTGCTAAGAACTTCATTTGGACAACTTTAAAGATGATTTTCTCAATATTTAGATTTTTTTGCACCCTCAGATTCCAGATTTTCAAATAGTTGTATCTCGGCCAAATATTGTCCTATCCTAACAAACCATACATCAATGGAAAGCTTATTTATTCAGAATCATCTCAATTTCAGAAAAAGTGACCCTTATGACTGGTTTTGTGGTCATTTAGGTTTATACACTGAGAATACCTGAAAGTTGATGGAAAATATCACAAACTCTTTCTCTCTGTACTGAAATCTGGGTTCCTTCAGCACACTCACTACTTATGATTTAAAGCTCACTTCTTCTCGTATAACACTTAGTATGTGATTTGGGATGCGGCCAGAGTGATCCACAGGAAAAGCCGAGTGTAACCAGAGACAGATGAGTGTGTGTGAGACGCCGGCGGTGTCTGATATCAGTGTTGTGTCTGAACACCAGACCGAGGCTGTCGTACCTGGGGTTGTTTTTCAGTGTGTTCACCAGGAACTCGTGCACATCGATCCCTGTGGAATCAGTGTATTCCTGACTGGAGTCTGGAAGAGAACGGAGAACAGAATCAGATGGGTGTCAATGCGAAAAGACAACAGTAAACACTCAATTTTCAGTTAAAGGCAGTTCATCATTGAATTCAGTGATGTCAACATCCAGCTCAATTCAGTTCAAAACAGACCTACAGGTTATTTGGTTAAACACAAGTCATTTTTTATAGGATTATAATATTTTGTTGCATCATGACACCCATATAGAGTGCATTAATGCTGCCACTGGTATTTTTCCCATTCATTTCTTCCCATACGGATTTGATAAAATTCTACGTTAAAGCATTATAAGCCACGGATCAAACCAACCAGCTACAGTACGAGGAGTATCACAACATTACATGCAAATTTGAAGCAGGAAAATATATGAAAAATCTGACAAATATACAAGACTGTGTACCTAACAGCTTTAATGATGGAAAGAACTACAATCTCATGTAGCACTGTGAATGACAATAAAATTTAAAACGAGAGAGAAACTCATAAGTATTCATTTAAAGTTTGTTTGTTGCTTACTTTAGAAACATTTTAATTGTATTGTAAAATATGCATGTGTATACAAATATTTAAGTGCTTTGAATTGGCCCGATTATGCATCATGGAGTGGGCGGAGCTTTGCTCACTGAGACTCTCTGATTGGTGGAATTTTTCTGTACAGCATCATGGGTAATGTAGTTTTTCACCACAAATTCTGCTTATAGCATGATTATTTAAAAACAAAATACGCTGAATTAATGAAAAATGAAGGCTTTAAAAATGTCTGTCTTTAAAGGTTTATAAGTTACTGTTAAAAATAAATTTCCTTATGGAGAAAATGAATGGAGTTTTTACTTCTGGAACCGACTGTTGGATTGTATGTTGATTACAGGAACTAGTTTCAACAAAACACACCATTAAAAGGAATGTCTTACCACGCGAGAGCATCTTGCGTGGAGTTTTATCCTTCTTTTCCCTTTCCTCATTCTCGTACTCGTCTTTCGAGGATTTCTCCTCCTCTTTATCCGATGGACAGCTGATGTGAAGCTGAATGACGTCCTTCATGGGCGGAGTCAGAATAAACAGACAACACATGAATATTCATGACTATATGAATATTAATGATCATATCCTAATGGTGGTTTACAGACTCAATTTTATTTGCCAAAACACACTTTGCACAGTCTACACTTCAACCTTTTGAAATCAGAGTCTGAGTTTTGGTAAATAATACACAATTCTTTATAGTCACTGCCTTGATCAAGCCACCAGCGTTTGTGTATTTACCTGTGATTCTAGAGGACCGTCGGTTGAAAACGGCCCTGAAGATTCTTCACAAACTGCAAGACTCCTCACCAGCTTGAGCTTTGCATTCGACTGAGACCGAGAGGAGAAATGCAGGACAAAGAGATGCATTACGGAAAAAAAACAAGGTGTAGTTTTATTTCAGGCAAATGGAACAGAAAAACAGCTGTTAGTTTTGAATACTGTGCTGCTTCTGGTGCTGTCCATCAACTAATTAGAAGTCAATATGAAATCAATTTACTTCAATTTCAGTTCTTATTGTGCACGTGAAAACTTCTGCATTCGTAACCTTCCATTAAAAGCGTAATAACTCTCCTCATCTCTGCAGCATCTTTTCTGCTGATGCAAACGATACTGTGACCATATGCTGCCTGGATGATTATATTTATGCGATATATATATTTATAAAGTGGTAATTACTAGTTGGAAGCTCTCTGACAGGAAGCTCTGTCAATTAAAGAATCATAATGAGATTCAGAAATCTGAAATTGCCCAATGCATCTATTTTATTCTAAATGCACTTAAAAATACATCATGCTGAAAGTAAAATTACAGAAACCCTAAATAGGAACTTCCCAGAAGGGGTTAAATATGTTTTCAATCAGATTCTAATAGATACTAACATACAGTCCTGCTTTATTTTCTGCTGAGTGTTTCGCTAATGTTACATCATGCATGTTAATGCTTTGGAAATGTTTCATTTAATTTTGTACGGGCGTTTAGAGAGAGAGAGAGAGAGAGAGAGAGAGAGAGAGAGTGTGTGTGAGTCTGGTTTCATATGCATTTAACATACAGCTTCAAAATGCTTTATTTAGAGACTTGGGATACTTTGAGACTTGTCATGAACCCTTTGACCCGAGTCCATACAAACAATAATGCATTATTAATGCACTGACCACCTGTATGCTATTATTTTTTATTTGATTTGATTTTTAAGAAATATTTTTTTGGTATATTTTAAGAAATAAGATTTTTGGATTTCTGTGCAATTTATTTATTTCTCTATTCTATCTATTGGTTTTGTTTTTATTTATTATACAATTAACAAAAAGCAAAAAAAGGCCTCTAACACTAGCTTGCTCTATTTATGTTTAAATATAACTATTTATATACAACTAGCTTTTTCTATTCTATCGGTTTTCTTTTTATTTATTATATAATTTAAAAAAAAAACTTGCTACATGTACTGTGTTAAGCTAACAGACTTGTTATAGCACTGGCATATCATTGCTCTTTTGTTGATTTTGATTGCTTCCATTGTCCTCATTTGTAAGTCGCTTTATCCAAAGCGTCTACTAAATGACTAAATGTAATGTAATGTAATATTTCTATTATTATTATACATTTATTTTGCATACAACTGAATGGTTCATTCAGATTTTTGCATTGAAAACTAATATATAAACAACACAAAACCTAAGATTTCATGCAGTAAGACATGTGACTGAACCTACATCCAGAAACACAGATGTTATGGGTCTGTAACGTCGAGGTTAAACTCGACTGACTGCTAAAGCCTGTCATGTTTAGGACTGAGCTACAGACAGCAGCAGAAGTGTGTGTCCTCGCATGCTTTACCTTGGCTCGTTTCCTAGTGTGGCCGTGATTCTGACAGCGTCGCTGCGGGGAAAGACCAAAATATTTATTAGTGACCATTAAAATCATTCATTAATGATGAACTTCAGCACAAAACAAAACCTCAGGCGGGGAAATGACAGATACTTCACAAATGGGTAGCTGACAAATAACATGGAGAAAATGCATTTTATTCGACATCAAGATTTTACATCAAAATAGGGCTGTGCAATTAATCGAAATACAGTTTCAATTTCGGCCGCCAACGATTATGAAAATACAATAATTCCATAATAAAGGGGCCCCATTCCACCCCGTGAGCATTCGCTCCTCTTTAAAAGCCCAATTTAACGTGCAAATCAGTAAAATCGTGACACTTGCAAGTTGCAATTACAGTTATGTTATAAATGGATGTAAAGAGTTGAGAGTGAAAATACATGTGTAACAGTAAATTGGAATCCGTGCAGCTCTTAAAGTGACAGCAGCCTAATATTTCCTGCTGCTAACTGTGTGCTTAATATTAATCAAACAACAAAAGACAAAGACAAAATCACTCCCTGCTCTTGAGTGAAGGACTTTTGTAGCTTTAATAAGAAACAAATGAAGTTTAATTCTTACAGTGAAAACTATGCTGTTTTATTTTACATTTGATTATTAATTTCTGTAGTAGGCCGTTAACTGAATACTTAAAAAAAACAAACAAAAAAAAAACTTAAAAGCACAGTTTGTTTCATTTGTGTCTTTTTATTCAAATGTATTTGTACTTTTTTTTTATTTTTTATTACTGACAGTCTAATTATTTCCAATAATTTTGAGGATTTCTTTTTTTTTTTTACTAATATTAGTTATTATAGTACTCTGGCTGTGGTATTGAGAATTGTGAAATTTCGTTGGTCTCTAAAATGTAGATGTTATAGCAACCTCATATACAGAAAAAATATATTTGATATATATCACTATCTTTAAATAAATCACTCATATAAAGTCACATGGCCCACTCATAACTGCGTTAAATATTCGTGATTACAATATTGACCAAAATAACCGTGATTAATTAAAATTAAATAATAGGTTAGAATTTACATGTGCATTAGTATAAATATAATATATATTTCTGGTGCTGTAACTGGTCACCATTTGATCTCCTTTTACCCTTTTTTTCCAGTTCACTTAAATCCTGTTCTGTGGCAGATCGAATAGTTTAGATTGAGTTTTGCATGTCAGAGCACAGGACACTGCAAGGCATTAGGCTTTTATATTATATGCTTGATAAGCTAAAATCTAACTATGTACGTTATCATTTAGAAGTTTCTTTGAAAGAAAGCAATACTTATATTAATCAAGAACACATTACATTGATTAAACGTGACAGTAAAGACATTTATAATGTCACAAAAGTTTTCTATTTTAAATAAATGCTGTTCTTTTGAACTTTCTATTCATCTGTGAATCCTGAAAAATAAAATGTATCAGTTTCCACAAAAATATTGGACTGTTTTCAACATTGATAATAATCAGAAATGTTTCTCGAGCAGCAAATCAGCATATTAGAATGATTTCTGAAGATCATGTGACACTGAAGACTGGAGTAATGATGCTGAAAATACAGCTGCGCATCACAGAAATACATTACAGTTTAACAGATATTCACATAGAAAATAGTTGTTTTACATTCTAATAATATTTCACAACTTTTGATGTATTTCTGATCAAATAAATGCAGCCTCGGTGAGCAGAAAAGACTTTTAAAACAATAAAACTTCTTACAGACCCCAAAGTTTTGAACGCTAATGTAGCGGCGTCTAAATATGTGCAAAAACATCATCTAGATTTGAGGAAGACCAAGGAAAGTCTAAGTAGCTATGTTTCCATCCACTTATTTTTATGCGCATTTTAGAATATTGCATAAAAAAACGCTGTATGGAAACGCCAAGATGCGCATAAATTCTAAAAATGTGCATAAAAAAAACTTATGCACACAATCGAGTAGAATACACTTTTTATCCGATAAGAAAAAATGCGCATAAACTATGACGGAAACACATTTACCGAATAAATTCCTCCATGCGCATCGAAAGTCATGTGACTTTGTGCTATGAGACGGGATAACTCGACTAACCAGCGGACCGATCTCGTTCACAGCATCTATATGTTGTTTTGGTCATTCTGAAAGGCCTATTTCTGTACAATTGTCTTTCCAAACAGCAGCATCCGCCTCCGAAAGCAATGAGCGCATTTATTGCGTTTCGTCTGCTCGTTCTGAGGCGCAAGTTATTTATCACATGTGAGCCTGGAGCACAAAAGCAGTGTTAAGTCGCTGGGGTATAGATTATTTATTCAGCTTTCATATGATGTAGAAATCTCAATTTTGAAAAATTGACCCTTATGACTGGTTTTGTGGTCCAGGGTCACATATATGAAAATTATTATATTCACTGGCTTCTCCTAGTTTTCTTAGTGATATTTAGTGCCAGTTTATCAGCAAGTGACTATTTTGTTCTCTTTGACTCGTTGGATGGAAACGGTGCTTTATTCGCAAATGTTTTATGCAACATTCCAGTTTTGCACACAAGTGAAATTCGAATCTTTGGATGGAAACACAGCTAGTGTTTCTGTGTCTCACCTGTGCATCCTGGGAGAGGTTGTCGTCTGGTTCTGTGCTGTCGGCGTTGGTGTCTTTAGCGGGCGCCGACGGGCTGCTTTTGCCATGGATGCCTGCGGAAGCGTCGGTGGACAGAGAGCCATCGCCCTCCTCCATCCCGTCGGGTGTGAAGACCACAGACATGATCCCTCAAAGCGCACACCTCACAAACCCTGAACTCACAAAGGAGGAGGAGATGCAGTTTGAGCTGTAATAAGATTTTTTGGTCATCAGTATTTTGTTATCAAACACAGTTCAGTCAGTCTTTACCGGACACACCTGGGGCTGTAGTGTGATGTGTGTGTTCTTCTGCGCGTGTGTGTGTGTGTGTGTTCCTATGGCTGAGATGAGGGCGGGGAGGACGTCATGTTGAACGAGTGTCTTCTCAGTTTCCTTGCATGCTGTGCGACGTTCTTACAGACACAATCGTCACAGCTCCACCTGCTGGAGAGAAACGCTGCTTAGATGAGATGGCAAGCACAATATAAACAGATTAACTCAAGATATATATGTGTTTAAGTGTGAATACAGCAGCAGACGGTATGAATATTTCTCTAAGGCTGAATGCATCTGCTTGTGTAAACAGACATGCAGCAGTAGCGTGTGTGTGCATGAAGTCATAAGCCCTGTTTGGCATGACATACTAGCACACTACTTACTGAAGAATGTGCAGTATATACTGTACACCGCCTACTAGGTTAAAAACAGCAGTATGTAAACAATTAAATAAAATTAATTGATAAAATTAAAAATATACAAGTAAAAATAAACAAAATTAAATTAAAAAATAAAATAAATGAAAAACTATATATTAAATATAAAATAAAAAATAAAATAAAATACACAAAATAAAAATAAAAAAATACACAAGGTACAGATTACAGGTACAGTTTATGCAGATATTATAATAGAAATATGGGAAATGTACTAAATGGAAATTGTGACCATATGTACAGTATAGGCACTTTTAATAAAAATAATTGAATGCATGATTAATTTATTGTTTTTTTTTTAACCAATTTTGTACAAATGTCTAATCTGTTCACAGTTCAACCAAATGCTGAGTGAAGAAGGACGATATCAAAGACGACACCACTTCATGTTCATTCATTATACTTGAAATAGAAGAATGTATTGTGCATTGCATTATGGGATACAGTGTATCTAATGCAGTGTACTGCACATTTGGGAAATGTAGGTCATCCAGGATTTCTGCAAGCAGAACGATCATATACTGCAGAGTTTACACACTACATACTGCAGAAACACGACGAGGAGTGTGACAGTATGTGATTCTTACACAGTAATGATGAGCATTTGTCCAAAAACACATTAGATCTGTGTGTGTGTGTGTGTGTGTGCGTGTGTGAGTGTGGGTCTGTGTGAGTGTGTGAGTGAGTGAGTGTGTGTGTGTGTGAGAGAGTGTGTGAGTGTGTGTGTGTGTGTGTGTGTGTGTGTGCGTGTGTGAGTGTGTCTGTGTGAGTGTGTGTGAGTGAGTGAGTGTGTGTGTGTGAGAGAGTGTGT